GGGCGCGGGCTGCCTGGTAGGGAAGCCGGAGGGTCCGTAGAGCTAAGTAAGAAGTCCGAGCCCCGAGCTGCGATCGTGCACAAAAGGAGATTATTCGGGGGGTGAGCTGCACGCCCGCGCGTGGGCAGCATCACTGTTTCTAATCTTTGCTGGGCGAGCCCGCGACGGCAACCTAGAGTTAGGGGTGTAACGATGCTTGTTTCTTTTAGCCCCGAACTGAGTCCCAAAGCGAATGGGGCAGGATGGCGAGGAGCTAGGACCTCAGGGGGGAACCCTGGACAGCAGCCCCGAGCCAGGCCTGCCCCAGGTGGACCAGAGATGAGGTGCCCCTGTGGGTGCATCTCACCTCCTGCTGTCTTAGAATTGCTTCTGGAAGTTTTCTGCGTTCCACTTTAGCCCGGAAGTTATGAGATCCGACACTATGGCCCTGCCAAGTGGGTTAGCACTTGCGTGGAGTCCATGGACTGGGATTCAGCAGTCCAGACTGGCTTTACAAAACTGAGCAGCTACATTCAAGGCAAAAACGAGAAAGGTAACTGGTAATTTTCCTTGTAATTCTGTGTACGTATTGTGGTTGACACTCGGAGGTTTTTTTTTTTGTTTTGTTTTGCTGCATGTTAGCCTGTTAAAGAAAGACCTTTTATAGTAGGAAAATAAACAGATTATCAAAGATCTAACGTTTTCAGACAAGGGCCCTTAGTGCTCCCCCTGGTTCTGCCAGATCGACACCAGGAGAAGTCCCTGCCCATGGCTAATTCTTCAGGATAATTTGGTGACTGGTAGGGTTGAGAAAATATGCAAGATTAGGAATCTCAAGTCACCAATTTGGGGTCAGGCCAAAATGTGTACTGTTTAGCAGGACTCATCCTATTGTAAAGGAAAAAAATGTTACTCCTAATTTCCCCTTTGATCTCCAAGAATAAAGAATTCATTAACCAAAGATATTAACAGCATAGGAGGTGTTTAATGTGGGCCATGAATAATTGAGTCATTTGGGCCCTGTCTTTTTAAAGATGAAAATTATCTTGAAAGTAAATTGTACATCAGTATTATAAAGTAAATCAGGAAACTCAGATCAAAAAAGGTGAAGATTTTAAAGCCAGCTGTGTATACACTTTCAATTTTCTCACATTTTTATGGTGCAGGGATGAAGATAAAGGTGACGGCCCCAGTGCTAAGCTACGTGGAGCCTGGCCCGGGTCCTTTCAGTGAGTCTACCATTACTGTTTCCCTGTACATCCCCTCCGAGCAGCAATCCGATCCGCCCAGGCCCTCAGAGTCAGATGTCTTCATTGAAGACAGAGCTGCAATGACAGTGTTTGTACGGTAAGTGGAAGATAATTTACAGCCCTGCTGACTGCTGGCTTCATTTGTGTTCCTTCCCCGTTTAGCTCCTGTGCAATTTCCCCAGGCTGTTCACCCTTCCATAAAAGCAGGTCAAAAGTGTTTTCCTACTGGCTTGGTTGGAAATGTTTCTAAGGTCTGTTTCAAGATATAATCATTCATTCAATGAGAAGTGTGCTGTATATTCTCTACATAAAAACCCAGTGCCAATTATATGCCCCAAAACATAAGGCCACTCTGACCTATGACCTACATAGAATAGACAAAAATATCTTTGAAAATAGTCTTAGTCTAGCTGGGCATGGTGGCACACACCTGTAATCCCAGCACTCGGGAGGCTGAGACAGGAGGATTGCTGCGAGTTCGAGACCAGCGTGGGCTACACAGTGAGTTCCAGAGCAGTCTGAACTGCATAGTTAGACCCTGTCTCAAGAAAAAAAAAAAAAAAAAAAAAAAGAAAGTCTTAGTCTGTTGGGGCTGCTATAACAACATACCATAGACTGAGTGTCTTATAAAAACCAGAAGTTTATTTTTAATATTTCTGGAAGTTGGGAAGTACCAGTTCAAGGCACTAGCAGTGTTAGTGACTGGTGAGGGATTGTACTGATTCATAGATTGCACCTTTCTGCTCTATCCACACATGATGGTAGAAGAAGCAGTGAGCTCTCTTAGAAGGTCACTAATTCTGTTCCTGAGGGCTCCACCCTCGTGACCTGTTCACTCCCCAAAGCCCGCCCTCCTGATACAGTCGCACTGATGACGAAGATTTCAGCACGGGGTAGACATAGACATTTAGCCCACAGCATATCACCCCCGGCTACACAAAATTCACGATCTTCTCAAATAGCAAATACATTTGTTCCATCCCAGCAGCCTTTCGCAATCTTATTTCAGCATCAATTCAAAAGTCTAAACCCCAGAGTCTCATCTAATTAGCATCTAAATCACACCCTGGTGAGACTCAAGGTGTGTTTCATCCTGAGGCAAATTCTCTTCTGCTATGAAGTGTGAAGTCAACACGTTCTGTGCTTCTGAAATAACAGCAGTGGGACTGGACATTCCCATTCTAAAGAGAGAGAGGAGCAAGAGAAATGGATACCAAGTGCCACTTAAGGCCCCAGTCTTTTTTCTTCCCCCAAGGTTTTTACAGATCTCTGATTCTAGTGGTAGTGCACATTTACAGTGCGTGTTTATACTTTGTGTGGAGTTGGTACATCTACACGATGCATCTCATTCCTTTTTCCTTTCCCACCCTTCCTTCCCTCCAACTCTTGATCCCCTTTGCATTTGAGAAAGATCTATCTCCCTACTTCCTATTATTATTTTGCTCTTTGTTTATAATTTGGGTTTCTCTATATAAGAGAAACTATGTGATACTTAAGCTTTATTTCACTTAGCATTATAGCCTCAAGTTGCATCCATTCTCTTACAAGTGACTGAAATTTATCTTTCTTTATGGCAGAGTGATACTCCATTTTGTGTAGAGGCAGCATTTTCTTTAACCACTCATCTTTTAATGGACCCCAATCTTAAGACTTGTTATTAAGCTTCTTTGACTCAAGGTTCTGCTTTCCAGGCCCACTGGGGTTCAGGTCATACCTCTAAGCTCTGCTGAAAACAGTTGGGCCCCCAGTGTGCTGAGTAGCCCAACTGAGAACTCTGTGTAGCCCCGCTTTTAGGGCAGCCTTCAAGGGTTAGAGTCACCTACTTGCAGCTCTGCCAGGCTGGGATTGCACATCAAGGTTCTGCCGGTCTGGTGTGCCCTGTTCTCATAGCTCCATTAGGCATTGGCCCAGTGGGGACTCTGTGGTGACTCTGCCCCTGGCTGTGATGGGTAGGTAGCCCCTGATAACCTCTAAAATGCCTCTGGGCTCATTCCCAGACAGTAGAGTCCTGACTTCGGTCTGGATGGCAGTACCAAATTCATTGCTTCTCAGAGTGTTGCTTGGCTACACCGTTGTACTTGTCTGAGCAATATTTTCACTTCATTTACTATAGCAAAGCTAAGAATTTTCCCAGTGTCTAAGTTCTGCCTTCCTTCTAGTTAAAAATGTTTTAAAATTGTTCCTGTCTTGTATATTACTGTAAGCAGCCAGACCACACCTTTAACATTTGTTTGTTCAGCCAAATACCCTGTTTCATTACTCACAAGTTCTACTGTCCACGTAATGGTAGGACATGAATACGCTCCAGCCAAGATCTCTGCCAGTCCCCAACCTCACTTCCTGTTCTGGTTTCGGTAAAGCAGCAGCCAGGCAGCCTCCCCATCAGGGACTTTATGGTCCTCATTAGCACTCTTATCTATCTGACCAACTGATCCCAGACCAGGCCTATTTACCTCAGAATGTGCCTTGTGCATCTGTCCCCTTCTGTCCATCCTCCCTGTCACTTCCTCAGACCCTCCCGGGACCACAGCTGAGTAAGTCATTTTTGTCTGCCCTGCTCTGAGCGCAGTGGCCACCACTCATGTCAGACACTGGGCCATTCATGGACGGAAAGTGAGTTCTTCTCGACTGCTTCGCTTCAGTACTCTTTCCCTCTGGAGCTGTGGTCTTTCTTAACACCACCCTCCCCAACCTGCTACTCCATTTGAAATCCTCTGTGGGTGTCCTGTTGGTGTCAGAGTGAGGCCCAGGTTGTCCAGAGGCCCACAGTACCCTTGGTAAAGTCCCCTGCCCTGCCTAGCAGCCCTCTGGCCAAAATTTGCAATGGCTCCTGTGACCTTCCCATCCTTCATGGAGGCGGCCGTGTTCTTCACATCACTTATCCTGGAGCCCATGCAAGTTGGCCAGCTTTTCCTTTTTCACTGTCCTCATCTGTCAAGTGAGCACAGTACTTGTCCATCTCAAGGGCTGCAGTAAAGATCTAATTTACTTACAATACTTGGGACATGCACATCTCGTACTCAGATTCTCCAGCCAGCCACTCTGTCCTTGATGCCTTCCTGCCATCATCATCGTTATTATGCTAAGTTACGAAGTCCTGCTCACGGATTATAACTCTCCCAGGATATGACAGCTGTCACATGTCCGGCAAGACAGGTGTGCAGGAGTGGGGAAGGGTAATCTATGTACAGAACAAGGGGTGCAGAACAAAATGTTTTCAGAGATCAGAAGATGACTTCTCATTAGAGGGGTCAAGATTTCTTGTCAAGGAAAAAGTGGGATCTGTGTTGGCTCTTCATTAAAGAAGTTAATAAACCTAGGGAGCAAAATGTTCCTTAACATATGGCTCAGAATTATAGTAAGTACCCGTGATGAAGACGATAGAAGAGTCTGCTCAACTCACCTGCTGTGATTTATTTTATAGATTTACTCTGTGGATCTCAAGGGAGCTGCGTACCAAGAATGAGTCTAGGTGGGGGGTGACACTGCTGAATAAAACACACATGGCTTGTGCCTTTGAGAGTTTACATCTCACATGAAGCGTCGTAAGATTGATTTCTTGCATTGCCACATCGCTGATGAAACTTTACCAAAGAGGCCATGTTAGGGATATTTCTGTCTTTCAGTGTTTCTTATTCCTAATCTTTAAAATCGAATTTATCCTGCTTATGTGCCAGCAGCTCAGCCAGGACAGTGTTCTGTCAGGACTTGATCTCAGAATACTTTGTTTACAGACTTCAAAATCTATACTTAAATTTTTGCTCTCTTTCCTGCCTTTCACTGAAATCTTTCCTTCCCCATCCTTACAGCAGCCTCCTCACGAGCTGCTGCACTCCAGTCTCAGTCCTTTCTCTGCCCGTGCTCTCCCCAGCCCTGAGGTGGGGACTGCCTTCTGCTCCGTACGCCTCAGAATATTCCAGAAAGGCCTTAGGCCAGGATACGGGGCCTTCCTTCTGGCTTGCACTCACCTCTGCGACCTCAGTTTAGACTTCCTGTCCTTCCCTTTTCTCGGATCAGTAAAACCATCCTGCATTTCAGCCACTTCAGACAGACACCCATGCCTGGGATCCCTTCGTGTTCTTGGTGTTCCTGCCTCACTGTGCGCTCAGTTCCATTACAGTTCTCCTCGGGATGTATAGAGAGAGTGGCCAAAACGTTGGTCTCTTTTGTTAACCCACAAATGAGGTCTAAACTGTATCATATTCATCTAGGACCCAGTGCCTATGCTTTGCCAAAGGAGAGAAAGAAAGGGTGAATGTCTAGTAGAAAACAGAGAGGTCTGAGCGGGGTACATGGAATACACCTATAAATCCCAGGTACCAGGTTTCAGTGCAATCTCAGCCCGCAGTATTTGGATACTTGCTAGAAACACACTCTTAGGTCCTACCCCGACCCCCTAAATCTGCATTTTTCATAAACTATAACAAGTTTAAGCACAGGGTTTGAGCACATGAGATCGTGTAAGTTGCAAATTTGCCTGTCAACAGCTGGGACTTGGGTGTCCCCCTGAGCTTCCTCGGTGGGTCTGAGGCCACATGAAACAGAGTCACAGGGAGGGAAGGACAGCACAGCAGCTTGGAAGCCACATTTCCTCCAGCTTTCAGGCTGCAGCTCCTGCTGTCCTTAGGCTGATAGTTATGTAATTATGGTGGCACTCACTGTAATCCTAGCATGCGAGGCTAGCCTGGGCTATGTTGTGAGTTCAAGGTCAGTTGGAACTACATAGCAAGACCCTATCTCAGAAAAAAAAAAAAAAAGTCATTTCTGTTTATTTACTTTCTCCTTTGTAGGTGTTTCAAGGGATTCTCTAATGCCCAAAAGAATCAAGAACAGCTTTTGACGTTAGCAAGTATTTTGAGGGAAGAAGGAAAAGTCTTCGATGAAAAAGTTTTCTACACTGCAGGCTACAACAGTCCTTTCAAATTACTTGACAAAAATAATGAAGTGTGGTTGATTCAGAAAAACAAACCTTCCAAAGCAAATGAAGGAGACAATGAAAAGAATTTCACTGCTGGGGCAAACCTTCTGCTTACTGTACACAACAACACCACTGCTAAATAAAGTGAGTGTCCTTCTCTCTGGAGTCCCTCCAGGAAGTGCTCTTATTTCCATTGTGCCTTTTCAAATGCTTGAAGCTTCACTTAGATACACAAATATCAGGGACAAATCTGTAAACATGTAAATCAGCCATTTCCGATGGTCAACCGGGAACGATCTTGTTATTCCTCTCTTCTTTGCCGCATCATGATCATGTTACCTTCTTCGACTTGGATTTGTGTCAAGGGCAGTTGTCCCTCTAGGTAGGATCAGTAAAATGTCAAAGCTGTATCCTGAGTGGAACTATAAGTCCTTAGGCCTGAGGTGAATTCAGCTGGACACAAAAATAAATAATCTTCTGCAGCTGCTGTTATTACATTAAGTCTTCATCTCCATCTGCCCATGATCCCCCTGTATAAGAAAACGGTTACCTCCAAGTGTAGAGTTGGTTTTTTTGTTTGTTTGTTTGTTTGTTTGTTTTTTCCTAGAACTGAGGATTGAGCCCAGGGTTCTCATACTAAGCTCTATTCCAGCCTTTATTATTTTTGTATTTTGAGATGTGGTCTTACAAAGTTGCCAGTTGCCCAAACTGGGCTGAAACTTAGAATCCTCCTGCTTTAGCTTCCCAGAATGCTGGAATTACTGGCATGCAGCAACATTCCTGACTAAAAGTGCTGGTATTCTGGAGCAGAGAATAAATCTATGATGTTGGGAATTTTCTGTTTTGCTTGAGACTCAAGGCATGTTTCTTGTAGAAATGTGTACAAACATAACACTTTTAAGATGCACTTGAATTTTTAAAGTACTTCCAACAGTACACGTTTTTAGAGATTATATAAAAAATGATTAGTTATTCAAAGAGTGAGCTGCTGAAACAAGGAGCAATGTCTAACAGGTTGGAAAGTGCTTGTTCTGGGAAAGACAAGTCACAGTCGGGTCCCTGGCAGCCTGTCCCAGGGAAGATGGCTCCCGGAGTTGAGGAGAAGAGTGGACGAGCCCAGTAACTTCCCCACAGTTCAAGCTGCCCATGAGGACACAGCCTGCGGTTCCCCTCATTATCTGTTTAAGCAGAGACCACAATTCCCTTCTCAGGAGACCACTTCTTACACAGGGGCCTTAAATGTCCGATGGATTGGATGGAGAAGATAAAGCATAAGGGTCCTTCAACCCTGTCATTATACATCTCTTTAAATTAACCTCTCTGGAGTACTACTCTGCCATAAAAAAGAAATGTGGGTCACTTCCAGGGAAATGGACACATCTTGAAACCATAATATTAAATGAAATAAATCAGACTCCAGCTCAAATATCTTATGGCTTCTCTGATATAAAAAACCTGTAGTACAAATAAATTAAGGAACAAAACAAAAGATAGATAAAAGGATACAGGGAGGTAGATATTTTACAAACAGGAAAGGGACCAAGAGGAGTAAGGAAGGGAAGGAGGGAAAAGGAGAGAGACGTATGAAGAATTGAGTTTTGTTATATGCGTGTATCAACTCCTTATGATGAATGTAATCACTGTGTACTGCAAACATACACTAATAAAAATAGGTTAAAAATTTTTTTAAAAAAGTAATCTCCCTAACCTGGATGGTGACCACCATCCCTATAGTGAATGTTCCATTTGATTACCTTCTAAGCACTGCTCTAAATGCTTTGCCTGAATTTATCACACTCAACTCGCCAAACATCCCACATTCGATGATCCCATTTTACAGATGAGTTTGCTGAGGCACAGAACTGTAAGGCATCTTGCCTTCGACAAAACTAAGGGCAGAGGTGATTGGAGCCCAGGTTCCGAAGTCCACACTACAGTTCCCCCTCACAGGCAGACCGGTAGAGTTCGTCCTGCACAGAAGTAATTCCCATGATCATGACTTCAGAGATACCTTTGAGACTGTGATTTTTTTTTTTATACAAGCTCGAGTTCTGGTTTTGAAATATTGATACAAATTTTAAAATCAGAAGCAATTATTTCCTGTAGGTATCTCCTTGAGTTGCATATTGAATTTATTCTTTGCATATTTATGCTTGCCAAAAGGGAATGTTTCTTTTTTAGCGCATTTCCCATCACCAATGGGAGGCTGCTGTTCAGCCCTTCTACTGAAGAGTGTCCGCGGTGCTGACCACTGCTGCCATGCAAATATTTCTAATATTTACCCTGCAGTCCTAAGTGCAGTGTGCATTGCTTGCTTATGCAGTAAATTCCATTTCAAATGAGAAGCATATTTCTAATGACCACACTTCATTGTAGTCTGAAATATGTTCAAGAAAAATACTAATTTTGTACTACTCATGTTCAGAGTATCCTATTTTCCCCTCCTCTTCCTTGAAACATATGATAAAACGTTTTTCAGGCTTATATTGATCAACCCAGAGATTATTTCTCACAGCAATGTGTCAGTTGAATTTGGTAGCTGACACTGTTGTGAAACATCCCTTATGTTAATGTTTCCTTTGCATTTTTTTCTTCTTTATCTATGAGAAATGTGCCTAGACTTTTTTCTAAGCCCCCGTCTTCTACTCGTGCTGCTGGTCTAACCCTTGCTACATCCACGAGCACTTCTCTGCTGTTTGTCCCTTTTGCTTTCATTTTTTAGGTCATTATGGGGTCCTTTTGTTCCAGGCACCATGCTAGGGGTGGGGTATGGTGGATGCCACATAGGGTGGCCAGGAAAGGTCTCTCTGATGAAGAGACCCTGAAGGTGTGAAAGATAAAAGCCAGGGGTGGCAGAAGGGGGGCTCCCTGGGAAAGGAAGAAGCCACGCTCAGTGCCCATAACACAACGCTGCATACTGCTTGCTGCACAGGGGAGCTGGGCTTGTAGGGCGCCGTCTCACTGGATAAAGAAAACTGCTGACCCTATACAGGGTTTTAGGAAATGCGGAGTCCAAGGATTAACAGACTTTCAAATGCATGTAGGGATTGACTGAGCTTTAGTTGTGGAGGCGCAGTTACCAGAGTGAGGCTGCTGCTGATGAGTGGGATTTGGAATCCTGGTTTAGAAGTGAGGTTACTGAGGCAAAGTTATCCTTGATTATTTCTGACACTTGTTAGGGTGATCAAAGAAGCAACAGTTCTCTTGAGGGATTTGGAGTTGGGGCAGTTTACCTTCAAGGAAGTACTAACCGTCTTGCAAGACAGGGGCACAGGTAGGGAGTAGCTGGTCCATCCCTGGGTAAGGCATGGGCAGCTGACTGCATGCATTTCCCTGCTGACTGTCAGCCAATGACTGAGCAAGGTGGAGGTATAAGACGGAAGCATTTCCGGCTTCAGATTCCTCTAATGAACAGCCTTAGATCTGGGCCTCCCTGGTGAGCTGGTTCACACCTTGTCAGATCTGTATTGCAACCTGACAGTGCATCTGCTCGGCCCTTGTCCTTTCAGAGGAGTAGCTTCACCACAAGTCCTTGTGCTTCTAACTCCATCTCAGACTCGGCCTGGCTTGGCTGACACTAGATAGGGGAGGGTTTCCTGACCAGGGAATAACTCTTAGGATGCAGGATTTAGTACCATGAGAAAAGGCCGTGCATATCCGAGGACAGTGCAAACTAGCTGCACTGTAGAGGCTCGCGGGAGCTTAGAAAAATGATAGAAATGTCGAAAAGTCTGAATTTGTCAAACAATAGAGGAATGAGAGAGCTTGGGTAAGGGGCAGGCTGAAATGGGTCATGTGGAGAAAGATGTCCTGTTGGGGGATTATATTCCCTGGGGAAGGCCAAGGGGACCCATCATTCACCAGGGAATGCATAGTGACAGGGACATGAGCATAACCAAGGAGCCCAGTGGTGATACCTCTGCAGTCCAGCACTCGCAGGAAAGGCTCTGATGGAACCTGGACTTGCTGAGAGCAATGTAAGCTCGGGAGCCAGTGGTGACTGCAGAAACCAGGTTGTCCTCATTATCATGTTGGCCCCTAAGTTCAAAATGGCAGCCAGATGGACCTGGCCTGTAAAATCCTAGGGCGATGCCTAATAGAACACAGCATCCCTAGGGACAAACCTAGATGGGTAGGCAACAAGGGCAGTGCTTTGTATATAATCAGAAGAAGACAAGATAGATGAGCATGGGGCTGAGAGAGATCACACCAACCAAAAAACTCACTAGGACTCCTTTCCCAGTTCCCAGGGCTGAGACAGTTTTCTGACAAAAAGCTCATGGCTGAAGAGGTGGCTGAAGAGGTGGCTGAGCCCCAGAGGAAAGTCCCTGAAACACTGAAGCAAGTGTACACAGTAATGATTCTCCATTTTGTCCTAATGGGACTTGTGGCCATTTGCCCAAGGAGCCACTCAGCGGAGGAAAACCTGGATATGTAGGGATCCAAATTAACATACGAAACTCAGAAACTCACAGTGTAATGACATTTTTCATGCCCCGTGAAATTGGGAGCACTTGAAAGTTAGAAAATAAACACAGTTCTAACCAAAGTTTGATTTACAATAGGTCCCTTGGGTCTGCAGGCTCACTGCTGCTTAGCTCCCTTATCCCTGCATGCACAATTGACACTCATATGCTTGACAAGTACAATACCCATTTTGGTGCTTTGACTGTTGGGAAAGAGTGTAAGCACCTGAATCCCATCTGCCCCAACCAGGATGGCCCTGAGCAGCAGCTTTCAAGCATCTCATGGGGAACATCTGCTTCTGCTCATGATGGCAAAACAGGAACTCAATTTACCCTTCCATTATAAACACCTGACAACCCAGGCAAACTATGTAAAGCAATGGTTTTCAGTTATTGAAAGTCCATAGTACAAGAATGTGATCTCTGAGAGAAGGGGGACAATCAGGTGCACCCAACAACTGCTCAAGCTAATGGCTCAGAGGCAGTTCCCAGGCAGCAACACAGACAGGCGAAGTCAAAGAAGGACGATTTGGTCTTGAGGAGTTGAGGAGACAGACGTCAGAGCAGACCAAGATGGGCAGAATTTGTTGGGAATAGTAAATGGGAGGAGGAAGAGGAGGAATCTGAATAAACAAGCTTTGAAAGGATAAATCTGACCAGAACAAAGGTATTTAAGGAATGTAACAAAATCCATCAACAAATCAAATAAAGTCCACAATTCTTAACATTCAGTGAAAAAGTATTAGAAACGGAAACAAAACACCAAAAAGATAATGACCCATAAGTAGGGAAAAACCAATCAGCAACAGGAAACCTAGAAGTGACAGGAATGAAGAGATTGGTGGCTTCAATCATGTGACCTAGAAGATCCTATATTGTTGGAGGTGTCATTGGCAAGGAAAAATGCAAGGTGATATATACAACAAGACCGAATTGGAAAAACATTGTGAGTCCCTGGGGTCCTGAAACAATGGAGAAGGGCATACTTCGGAAGAACAGCTTCTGTTCTAGGTCGTGGTAGGGATGGAATCATGAGATGCCCTGCTCAGAATTGCCCATTTAATCTGGGCTCTCTGTCAGAACCACCAGATCATCAAGTCAGCAGGACCCATCATAAGATGAAGAAGACACATCAGGGGCATTCCTGGCAGGACTGGAAGACATCTGTAGACCATGTCCCCATGGCAGCACCCATTTCTGTCCCTCCCGGTAGTATCTAGAGGACCTGTGTGGTCCACTGAAGGAAGAGAAAGAAGGCTGGGCCTGTCTTACCCAACCTAAAATGACACTCACCGGAGGAGGGAGGGTCCAAAGGGGAGAGGAGATGGGAAAGAGAAATTAAGATGTATTACGTACATGTACCAGTTCCCCATAAGGAATGCATACTACATGTACTACAAACAAGTACTAATAAAAAAGGAAGAAAATTATCCTTACTCACTCAAGGGTGAAAGATAACTGAAAAAAAAAAAAACAACTCTTGTAACTCTTTCTGCAAGAAAAAGGCAGGATTCTTGGTGGTGCGCCGGGTTCACTTATTTTGTAATACAGGAAAGGTAAAACGCATGCGGGATCCCAGCACTAGCCCATGGCCTGTTCTGACTCCTTTTTTAAGCAGTATACATTGCAAGGGTCCCAGTGAACTATAAAATCTACTGCTGCCACCTGTGTATTTTGGATTCCTGTGTCCAAGGATCCGCAGGCAAGAAGAGACCACCCTATGTCGAGGAAGGGCAAATGAGCCTGAACAGTGAGAGGCTGTACGTAGCGGGGGCAGGAGGTAAGTGATATGCAGAATGAAAGAAGTCATGGAGGAAGTTAGGAATATGTATATGTGTGTGTATGCATGCTCTACGGGGTTAGACAAGGTCGCTAAGGACAGCACAGTTAGAGAAGAGGCTAAGGAACAAGGCCCCTCATTCATTCCCCTCCTTCAGTCTTCACTCCCCAGACCGCAAAACAAGTCAAAATACTCGGAGTTACATCCCAGGCCCTTCACAGGCTCGCCCCTGATGCCTTTCTGTCACCCTCCCCACTGTGCTCTTCTAGAGGCCGCCTGTGTTAGCTGCACGGCTTCCTCTTCCTCCCAGCCTCTGTGCCTTTGTTCACACCATTCCCTCCATTTGGAAAGTCTTTGTACTACCAACTTTCCCTGGAGTCTTAGCTGGGTTCCCCACAGCCAAGCTCTCCCTATCAACCAGCTCAGCAGCGATGGATTCTGCCACCAAGAGCCAGGTCATTCAGCTGTGGAATGGCCTAGCCAGTGTGTCTGAACACATAGCCCTGGCTGTGGCTCTGGATGCTGTCTACTCAGGCTCATTTCTTCTCTGCCACCCAGATGCTCCTGTTCTCCTCAGTGCCTGGAAGTTTCCTTCTCCAGCCTCCCATCCACTTTTGGGAGACACAGGAGAAGCCAGAAGGGGAAGTGACAGCATGTATATACGGAAGGCAAGGCTCCTGGACATTTCCAAACTACTGTCCATGACTCACTGACCAAAGCTGTGCCCCTGGTTCTGGTGACCACAGAGAAACCTGAGGTGTATCCTGTTCTCCTCAGTGCCTGGAAGTTTCCTTCTCCAGCCTCCCATCCACTTTTGGGAGACACAGGAGAAGCCAGAAGGGGAAGTGACAGCATGTATATACGGAAGGCAAGGCTCCTGGACATTTCCAAACTACTGTCCATGACTCACTGACCAAAGCTGTGCCCCTGGTTCTGGTGACCACAGAGAAACCTGAGGTGTAGTGTGTTTTACTTTGGTACTAGGGATAGAACTCGAGAGCTTGTACTTGCAAAGCAAGAGGTGGAACCATCGAGCTAAATCCCCAGCCCATTGTGCATCCTTTTCACTAGGTTTAAGCCCATCAATGATAGCCTCATAGAAAAGACTTTCTCTCATTGCTAAACAAATCACTGCAGATCACTCTGGACCTTGGTCTGTAAGCAAAAGTTGGTCTGCAAAAGAGGTAAGGAATAGCACTCATTGAAAGAAACTACCTTACACAGTAACTGGCTTAAGGAAATTGGACCTTAAGAATTATGTCCATGTTTTATTCAAAAGACCCTAACCCTGCCCCTGTATCCTAATATTTATCATATTATCCTGATGTAGTTATTTCATGATGAAATCTCAGCAATATAATTATCCACAGTAGGCTGATAAACCCACAATGGCCAATCCAGCATTTTACCAGGATACCACTGAGCAGATGTGACACAGAAATGCATCCTTTTCTTTGCCATTGTAATTGCCCAAATGAATGCAATAATAAAATGGTGTAACTTACACATCTTCCCATGTTTTAAATCATCTCTAGATTGCCTCACATATTCAATTCAATCTGAATTTCGTCAAAAGTAGCCATGCTGTATTACTCACAGAATGACAAAAAAAGTCTCTGTGGTTAGTACAGGTGCATTTTTTCCAGCTTTTTGTCATCTGCAGTTAGTTGAATCCATAGGTGCAGAACCAGCCAGTGTGGAGGGACAACAGGATACTGACATCCCTACAGAAGCAGCAACATATTTCAATCTTCTTTAGAAATAAGGAGGACAGAAGTGAGACCAAAGTTGAGATTATTTCCAATCGGCCGGCCCAATGTTCTTTTGTATCTCTTCCAACTCTTAGAAAAAAAATCAAGTGGAAATAACTTAGTCCGAAGGTATATAACTACTTAGTCTAAGAAAGGCTGTCCAGTCTATTCTCATGAGGCAAGATCCATCCCACCAACAGAAGTGAGCCCCATGGAGGGAAAAAGTACTGCACTGAGAAACAGCTTGGTTCAGGCATAAATGGAGATCCTTGCTTCCTTGGCTTTCATCCATGCCAGTGACTTCTGTCTCCCACATGTCACAGCATCAGAACCACTGGTCACTCTATTATCTGTATTTTATTCTAAAATACAGAATGTTTAGGACATTATTTGGAGTTGTTTTTCCGCATAAGCTTTCAGATGACAGCAGCAAACTGTGATGTCGTCTCTCCCCTCTGCTGGGTTCCAATCTCCCACAAGCACCTGCTGCTTTTCGCTGGTCTGTGGGTCTAGCAAAGCAGTCAACAATTCTGCATAAAAAGACCTATCTCATGATTCAGGAGACAGACGCACAAACAAAAGGAAGTTTCAGATAGTGACTTTACAACTATTTTATTTGAAGCAAATTTTAAAATGTGTATCTCTAAAAAAGAGGGGTATTTTAATGGTTTTATCATTAATATTGCTTATCTAATCTTCAAATAAATGACATATTAAGTTCAAAATTTCTGATAGCCATATACATTCTAATCTTTTTAAGGTAGCTGTGGGAAGACTTCATATTCAAAAGCCAACACTATTTTCCTAAAAATCACAAGAAGTGATCTGTGTGCCCCATGTTGTAGACAACTGGCCCAAAGGATAGAAGCCCTTCTGCTTGTGGTCAGACATCAGGTCCTATGTGAAAAGGAAGATTTTGTTTTCCTCAGAGAAGAAAAGAGATTAATTTATCAGAAGTTTTATTTCAAAAGCTTTATGATGCTTTGACCCGTGCAGTCCCACATTCAGATGATATTTTCATACCAAAACAGATGGTAATGGACAAAAGTCATACTACTGTCTAAATTAAGGCTCTCAATATGGTCACCATAGGTCCTTCTGATGATGAAGACAGGACTCTCTGGTTTAAGTACACAGAAGACAGGAGAGTGAGGATCATAAAAATATTATGTTAAAATAAATATACACTACTCTCCCATGTCTAAAGTATAGAAATTTGGATTGGAGAAGATTAGATGATAGTTAGCAATTCATTTATAAACAAATATAAAAACACACAAACCAAATACTGCAAAAAAAAATCTTTTTAATCTAAAAACTCATTCCCCAGGGCTAATGAATAGCCAAGCCCTACAAATTTTTATCAGTTTATTTGACTAACAAGAGCTATTCAGCATTTTTTCAAGATAGTATATAATAAATTTTGGTAAATCTTTCTAAATTAGGACATGATACTGCAGGCAGTAAGGAAAAAAAAAAATAGCCATATTTTTTTCTTTGGTGTGGCCGAAAGGATAACCAACAGTTAGTAAATGTTGACACTGCAAGTGATAAGAAATTGCCAAATGGAAGTTTAAACTCTGGGAAGAAAGAAAGGAAGAAAGGAGTAAAGAAGGAAAGACTCTTGGAAAAGCTTTGCCCACAGTGTTGCAGTGCAATTTTTCAAATTTAATTCTGAAAAATAATCTTATTTAATAAGCAAGAAACGAGTCCCAGCAGTGTATCACTTCCTCCCTGCCTCTTCCCTCGCTTCTCCTCCCCCTCCGACGTCTACACCAGTTCCCAGGAAGGGATCGGCTGCTCCCAGAGGAGGAAAGCCAGTCAACAGCCACCCACTTTGAAACCCCAGGCTAAAAGTTGCATGTTTGTGGCTGCACAGCAGCAGGCACTGAGTTATAGCTTCGCCACTTCCGTGTTTGTCGTTTTTTACAAAAGAGAAACAAAGCCTTTTTCCCCCAGAAAAAAGCACCCGGACCCCATTAGACATTTAGCCCTTTGCTGCTACTTCGCGCACCCCACGCCTGCCTCCGGAGCAGCACCGGGACGGGCGTCCAGGAGGGACAGCCTTCCCCTTCCGGGGAGCTCGCTCTTCCCACAAACCTCGCGCTGTGAACACACTCACCACCTAGTCCTAAGACTCCATGAGTCTACCTGGCTTAACGCTTTCTTCCTGTTTCTGTCCATACTGCGTGTATATCTGTTCAAATAAAGTGTTCAAAACGCACACACACACACACACACACATTCGCACACTCACGCCTAGCCATTTTCGCAAGGAAAAAAAATAGTCTGTTCAAATAAAGTGTTCAAAACGCACACACACACACACACACACACATTCGCACACTCACGCCTAGCCATTTTCGCAAGGAAAAAAAATCTTCCCCAGGAAGCACTTTCGGAAGTTGAAGCTTCTACTTGCTTTCAAGCCACACTCAAGTGGCGGGTGAGTCTGAAAGGCCCCGTGAGACGTGAGCAGGGTCCAGGGAAGGACGCAGCGGCAAGGCGCACCCCTACATCTCCGCTCTGTCTAGGGGGCCGGGCTCTGTCCCTAACTCTGCTCCAGGCCAGCACCCCCCAGGGGCTCCCCACCCTCATCTGCCGGCCCAGGAGTCCGAGGCAGCAGAGAGGCGTCCGGCTCCCCGCTGCCCTGCTCTTCCTGGTCCC